GGGATGTTCACTGAATAATTTTTTTGTTGTTAAAATTTTCATTGAATTTATGTCTAAGAAGCTTCGGTTCAGACGGATCATTATGATACGTTCGGTAGGTTCTGAGTTCTATTATGAATTTATGATCAATCAAATTTGATATATATTTTTATTGGTTGCTATTCTTAGAGTCTAGATTATTCTATAATCTCTTTGTAATCACTGTAATTGAAACCATCCAAAAACAGAGCAATAAAGCAAAAGTTCATCTTTTTTTCTTTATTCACAGCTATAAAGATTATTTTTGTTCAATGCCATTAAGATTAAATCTGAAACAGTATTTGAAAGAATTTGTTAGAAAAATGAATAAATCTGTTACAAAAATTAAACGCTAAGCACTAAAGCTATGAGCCGAAATATAAAAGTAAATTTTCTATATCATAAAAGGTAAATTAGTTTAGGATCTTTAACATTTTTTTTCTTCTCCCAACATGTTAATATATAGCATTCTTTTGGATAAACTATAAAACATTAATTGTTTTCCTTTTTTTCTAAAAATCGAAAACACGCCCAAATTAGAACTAGTTAATCCCTATATATATGTAAGGGACGCATCACATTTGTGTGCTCACATCAAATAAACAGAGACGGTAAAAAGTGATGGATCCAAAGAATAAGACACAAAAAGTTGCCGAATCAGATTTCTCTATCCCAAAGATGAATCCAAAGACGAAAAAGCAAAAACTTAGCAATTCACTAGAAGTAATCCCAATTAGTCCCTCTCTCACAGAGATAGATTTGGGAGAAGCCATGAAGAAACAAAACGATTTGGGCGAAGCCATGAAGAAACAAAACGACAAAGCTTTGTTCCTTGCGTCGAAAGTAATCGATACAACAAAAGCAAAAAACTCTAACCTCGTCTTCTCTCCAGCATCAATAAACTCAGCGATCACGATGCATGCAGCTGGTCCCGAAGGTGGTGACTTAGACGACTTAGATTCTGGTGGAATCCTCTCCTACTTGAGATCTTTTCCACTCGAAGAGCTCAAAGCCGTTTTCAGCGAAATCTCCTCCGTTGTTTTCGCTAAGAATAGCTCAAGGGACGGTCCAAAAATCAGTGCAGCGAATGGCGTCTGGATCGAGAAATCACTTCTGATTGATCCCAAGTTCAAGGACCTCTTTGAGAATTACTTCAAGGCTTTTTACGCTAGAGTAGATTTCCGATCAAAGGTACGTACGTAACTTTTTTAACTTTAAATCTCT